AAAGCAACTACTGTGGCTGTAATGGGAACAATAGTGTAAGGGGAGAACCTTTTTGCTCACAATTTACTTCTCTCTTTCACTCTTCATTTCTTTCCTTATTTTCCTAAGACAAAGATTACTTCAACAAACAAGCAGATTAAAATTGGATAACTGAAGCTATTATCACCCATGGCTGTCATCCCTCCCTTTCTGACAGATGTCACTGCAGTTTTCTGCTCAATGTGTGAATGTAAGCCCATTCCAGACCTTGGTTGCTGTGAGATGTGCAGCTGAAAACAGTATTTTGGGAGCCAATTTGCAAGGGAAGTGGGTCCTGGCATCCTTTGGAAGGGCACAAGCAGCTTCCTGTTCCATCCTGCTGTCTTTAAACCACAGTCACGTCTGTCTGAGCTCTGCAACCACCAGCCAGTCAGACAGAGAGTGATACTTCTAAGGAATTATTATTTTTTTTTCACAGTAGATAGCATGCAGTGGGCATAAATATTTCCAAAACTTCCCTGAACTTTTTTTCTTCCTCCAAAGCTCCTGGGCTTGCTGTTCTTCATCTCATTCAGACAGTAGTCTGCACAGTCCCTACAACTGCCTGCGAAGTGTGCGCTGCACACAGAATAGAAATCAAAGCCATATTCTTTAGTCTGCTTTTGTGTAATCCCAACTCAAGCTTCCAGTCTCAATTTTTAAAATGTGATTAAAGTGTAAATTACAAAAGATAACACTAGTCCCAAGGACAGAAAAATATTAAAATATGTTTGCAAAGCTAAGAGAGAAATATCAATCACTGGCAAGAAGCAGCCTAGGATATGAATGAATTGCATGCCATTTAGAGAAACAAACAAATGCAATGGAATTAATCAGCAGATGTAAAAGAGAGTGTGATTCTGATACAAAATAGATGTAGGAGAGGGCATGAAACAACAACCATGTGCATCAAATCATCAGCTGGTTTCTGCACATATGGAAAAAACTGAAGAAATGCTACAAGATTTTTGCAAGAGGGTTTCAAGCTGGACATGAATTAAAGACAAATGAATCCAATCTGTGCCGCTTGCTTGCTTGCTCATATGTACACGCACACACACAAATCCTACTTTCATGAAGTCAGTTCCCCATCCTGGATTTCTGACCCTTGCTCTTCTTTTGCCACATTAGGCATAAACTTTAAATTGAGTCTGGAAGGTCAGGGTGTGGTGCCACAACAGCAGCATGAAATATAGATGCGTTTTTTTCTACATTTGCATTCCTGACAGATTCCTCACAACTCCTATGAACAAGACTGAGGGCTTGGGAGAGAAAGATGTAGAAACAGTCAGGCACAGCAAATAGAATTAGGAAATATTTTGAAAATAGACTTGCAAGCCAGGACACGCAATAGCAAAATTCACTTTAAGTCTCAACAACGCAAGTTCAAAGGTTTGAATTACTCAAGAACATCCTGTGTTTAGCCAACACTGCTAATCTGGCGCATCTCTCCTTTGTCTGGCCAAGGTTTCTTCCCTTCTCTTCTTAACGTACCCAGCAGAGATAAATGCAATGTTACAGACACTCATAAACAGAGGAAACGTGAGCAAAACATCAGCACAGCTTTGAAAGGCAGGCCATATATCTGCAGTCATGATGGGTTTAAATTTTGTTTTCTTGTTCTTCCTGCTGTTTGCCAGGGATAAACGGCAATTGTGCTTTCCGACCGTATTCAGCTGGGCTCTACGCCATTTTTTGCTGGTTTTGATGGCAAAGTTCTCAAAGACATATATTAAACTATCTGACCCATGTAATAACTCACTAGGGCTGCACTTTTGTTTCCAAGGAGGCCCTATAAGAGGGGAAGTAGGGTTTTTTTTAGAAAGGCATCAGTCTTCTGCACTAGTAATATTAAACTTTCCCATGGAGTTTCAATAGCATTAGCAAATTATTTTGATAAAAAACCAGCACACTTTGCAGATGTTTTTCTGGGGGTTTCAAAAGGGAAAAATATGTAAGCTTTACACCCACTCCTTGATGTTTTAAGCTCCCTTACAGTCTGCCCTGTGACGATTCCTAAATACACTAATGTTAGAGAGTTAATCTCATAATGGTAATGCATCCACAAACAAATTACTGCAGTAGTCTAGTTACCTCAATTAACTTTTAATCTATTCACTCTGCAGAACTAAAGGTCATTTTCTATTAAAATATCTCCCTCCCACTTCCTTATCACCCTTTGCAACTTACGGGAGTTAATATTAGAAATCCTGTCCATGCTACGTTAGGAAGACAGGATGACAAAGCCAGAAAAAGACCTTATTCTTTACTAACATAACACAGACATGACCCAAAGAGAACATCTGCCTTCCTTCATGAACACATCTAATTATGGCAAATTGTTAACACCTTGAAGAGGAATTTCATAGAAGGGTAAACTTTAACATATGCCATCCTCACACGTAAAACATCCCATACTTCATGCTTTTCCAAACATATGCACTTTTTCCTACAACAGTTTATCAAAGACTTTATTTTGAAAAGGACTTCAACCTGTTTTCCATTCCTCTGGATGCATTTTTTAGTGCTTGCAATTATTTGCCTGTCCAAATAATTCCATAGAAACATCAAACTATGTAATCTGGGAATGCAGTCAGGACATAAGACACCAAGGCCTGCAAAACTGCAAATGCAATTATTTCTTCACTCGCAACTTGAAGCCACCGCACTCTTGCAAAATTGTGCCTTTAGTTTATTTGGACACTGAAAGCTGCCTGTCCACCTTGCAACTCCTGCTACTCTTCCCCTTGAGTCCCACAGTAAAGTCACAGTCAATAATTTGACACTGTTATTGCCATGGCAACAGCCTGATGTCATGCATATACAGAATTATGATTGACATTCCTGCAGTATCCAACAAAAGGGGAAGAGGGAGAAAACCAGACACAGCTCCAATACTAATGGGGGAACCAGTATCACCGGCACTGTAAATATTGCTGTATTCATAAATCTGCTTTCTTCTGCTTTTCACCATGTCAACATTCCTGTGAAGGGGTCCCACCAAAGCCCAAAACACATACTTAGTGCAGAGGGGGCTTCCTCACACATGCCCAGATTTGGCCAGAGGACAGCGGGTGCCCTTCTGACAGTGCTTTCCTCAGGGAGAGAGCTCTATGCTACAGTACAAAAGATTTTTGCCACAGAGGTTAATCTTAAGAATGTACCTTTTAAATGTCATAGGTATGGCCGAAAATAACACGAGACATTACACTGAGTGTTTTTTCCCCTCTGAGGATAGTCTTCAGGTGTTCAGTTGGGCTGTAAATCTTTTTTTGATGATGTTTATCAGCGCTTACAGAAAGACACGCGCAAACCACTAGGAATAGGATAAAATAACATCTGTTAAATATTTTAAAACTCAATGTCTGCAGAGTTCTCATAAGGGTATACAGGCAATACCAAGACAAGGATGGAAACAGCCTTTTATTCTAAATTTCATATGTACACGGAAAGCTGTTTTACACAGCTTTGTAAATTCTGCGTAAAAGAGCTATTGTCATCCAATGTCACTGTGCTTATACTAATAACAACTTTTAAACATGGAGTACATTATTAACAACAAAAACCATTAACAAACAGGCATAAAAGACACAGATATGTGTGCTTATATTTCACATATATTCTAGAAACAAGTTGGCGCAAAAATAAAATGTGCCAGTAAAAAAAAATAGGCATTTTTTAAAATCACACAATACATGATTTTCTTTCTTGCTTTCTTTCTTTCCTTTTTGTACATGATACGCTGAGATCCATTCTCAAGCCTTTTCACATCAGGATTTTCAGGCACTTCAGCAACCCAGCTATATTTTTTACAATACGTGAAGTTAAGACCAACAAACATATAAAACAGCTGCTGCAAAAGAAATTCTCATATCCCATACGCACATTCAAATGTTACTCACTCCTGGAGCAACTTTTTTTGTTTTAGTTATTTTTGGATACTGACATGTTTTCAGGATGATGTGCAAGAGTTTGTCTCCGCTTCTCTCTCATTCATATACTTACATTTATTTTTAATGTAGAATCGTGATGCAACCATACAGTATACGGAAGCACAAGACAATTGTCCACAAAGCTTCACAAATTGTAAAAACAGTTGTTTTCTTTTCACTTTTTTGATCCAAAGGAAATGTTTGATTTCGTCTGCTCTTGCTTTTAAGCTATCTCCAAAATTTGCCCAAAGACAACAGTGTATCAGATGACCATGGAACGATATCCTCCCTAGTTCTCTTCCTAGACACGACTGTCATAAGACAAAATTAACTTAGAAGTAAAGCAAAGCAGAACTCAGTTGTATGTTTGTTCGTAATTTCCCATCTTCAATAAAATAGTAAAATATACTTATCAGGGGCTTGGCTGTGACTGTATAAAAAGTCTCTCTCCAGTTATTTCATTTGTAATGGCCTGTGTATTAAGATTATAAGGCAATTGTAACAGGATTCTCAGGATAATGGAAAGCTTAATATTGTTTTCCTCATGAGTCAGGATAAAGGCTTTTTTAATAAGCTCAGAGTGGGGAGAGAGAGAAAAAGAGTGCATATGTGCATAATAGGAAAAGGATAGTTTTTCAGCATACAGACACTTAAATATTGATCAACAAAGACTGGCAATGACTCCACCATAAAACATCTTAGAACTGCAACTGCGATCCAGAGTAGAGCTAAGCTTTCTCCACTCGAGTGATACGTAACCCTCCTCCTGACCCAAAAGAAATAAAAAAGAACATGTCAATGCTTCCTTCAACCTCAAATTCATTAATTTTATGCCACAAAGCTGCATGTTGGTGTAATAAGTCACTGCAAAGTAAAACACATTACAACAAGTCCTAGTAGTAAGCCATTGACAACTACTTGACTGGGCTATGGGACTCAGTACGCAGGGGCAGCGTTGCTCACTTCAGCTATGATTGTCAAATGGTGGAACATCCTTCCATGAATTCAACACTTGAGACAGAACAGCAAAGACATAAGGCCCACCAATGCTTTGCCTGTGTTTTTAAAGGCACTGAAACAGACAACGGATATATTCCTTAGTACCATCAGTTTAAAAAGTTTTCAAAATATAAGTCTTTGTATGAAAATGTCCCTTATTGCATAAGTTGATCTTCATTTTCTTCACCTCAAGAATAAAATGGTCTTCCCTTTTCTGGTGTTTGCAATCTGTTCAGCCTCGCTACCTGAGACGGTGAAGGTGGTACATCTTGCCTGAAAGGACCTTTAGGAGGGGTATAATTAGGGTCCTGAATTTTCTTATAAGAGTCATAGTTGCTAGGCCCTTCAGAAGAAGTTTTTTTTTTCAGTTGTTGTTCTTTCCGCCTCTGCTCTTGACGTAGCAGTTCTTGTGTTTCTAGCATTACTCTGGCATTGAAGCCATGTCCCCCCATATAGCCATTCCTTGATCCCTGATAGCTGGAATATCTGGGATTTTCCTTTGCAGTCTGGAATCCTTCTCCAGGGGAATAGCTCTGCTCCCAGGAGTCTTGAGATACAGAACTGGCATTTTTTCTGCTTTGCCTGGAAAGAAAAAAGAAGATACTTTTAAGACAAATATTCTAGTTCCACTTCTACTGTTACTGACAACAATCCCTGGAAAGAAGGGTGCTTCTGTAATGCCAGCAGGTTTTCCCCAGCTATATCATTCTACAGAAGTCATGTTCTCTTCTGCTGCAAAGAGGCATCGAAGAGGCATCTTACTTCTTTTGTTAGGAGAACATTTCCTATAGAGTTGAACTCTATTTCTGGGCCTCTCCAGGAGGAATATTTCATCGAATCATAGAATCATAGAATAGTTAGGGTTGGAAAGGACCTTAAGATCATCTAGTTCCAACCCCCCTGCCATGAGCAGGGACACCACACACTAAACTATGTCACCCACGGCTCTGTCCAGCCTGGCCTTGAACACCGCCAGGGTTGGAGCATTCTCATGAAAACCCATCCAAGTACTACAACCACCATCATGTTCTCAAGAAAAAAGTGCTACAGTTCAGTTGCAGATTAGGAAAGACCTAAGATGTGCTTCTTAAGAAACCAGGTAACAGCCAACACTTGTAAAGTCACTCATTAAAAATTTGAGTCTAGACTCACACATGATTAAAAATGCAACAGGCAGATCTTTAGAACACTTGCTCTAACACTGCACAAGACAGAAGATAAAGCTCATTATTGATAGGTAGTTACACAGATGACAGTTTCTTCCTCCCATTTCCAAAACTAAAGAATTTTGTGCTATCATCAGGACTGTTGCCCAGTTTGCTATAGTTCTCATAAAAGAAAAGGCGGAGATAACCTTTTTTGCTCATTTTTTGGCTCCAAGGGGGTAGACAAATAAATCAAATACATATGGGAATTATAAATTCTTATCTCTTTTCACAATAAACCAGCACATTATTTTAAAGACAGATTATGGTTTTGAAATAGCTTTAATTTACTATCAAGCTGCTAGATGCTTTTATGAATTTAAAATAAGATTGTTGATGATAAAGCAAAACAATTTTGTGCGGCAGCAAAAGAGATACCCATTTTGAGATTAAAATTAGTGTATGAGAATCAAGCAGTAAACCAGAATATATTGCGACATTAATCAATAAGAAATTCATTTAGTTGTTTATATATGACTTGGTTTCTCATGTCAACACACATGACTCAATGTGGCCTCACCCAATGAATATGCAATAAAGACATAGGAGACCCAGAGAATATTTCTACCATTAGCAAAAGCAAAAAGTCATCTAATGTTTTCACAATCTTCCTTCGACACATGTAATTTGAAAATGACCATATCCACCTTACTTCATAATAGATTTTGAGGCCTCTGGATGAAAAGTGTTGATCAGGACAAATGTAAATTATTACAGCATAAATTACAACATAATGTAAGTTCTTATGCAAATTTTTATAGCTGGTCTTGGTATTTGCATATCCAACTTCGCCAAAGAAACAATGTTTCTGTGCCATGTTTTATCACTCCCTGGAGCAAGAGCAAATTGAACGAACCTCTGTAGGCTACGAAACTGTCAGGTTTCTGATCTAGAGCTAGATAAATTTTAAGTGCTAGAAAATTAACTTGGAGTTAAACATTGCTTTTACAGTTTCACATGGGACAAGAGGATGACTAGCTGAACTGATTTAATTTACTGACTTTTCTGGTACTTGTTCAAAATTAGTTGGCCCACTTTCCCTGTCTTTCTGGGAAGATCCTTTAAAACTGACTCAAGAGTTTATTTGCCGTCACTACTAATGATTTGAATGTACAAAGGGGAAAAAAGGAGGATCCTAGAGACTATACAAGATGAAAAGCAGCAAAGCTCAAGAATGGATCCAGTGCAGAAACTTTAATCATTACAAAGCCGCAGTTGCAGCATTAAGCTTGGGACCTAAGTTTCAGAATAACAGTAAGATTTCTTTAAAGATCAGTCACAGAGTCACAAGCAGTTTGTAAAGCTAGAGAACGGGTTGTCCCAGCTTGTTATAGGAGTGTCATGGTATTTACAGCACTCAACTTTTGCCCAAGGTCCTGAAATTCATTCTGCTCTCAGCACAGCTCAAATATCCAGAGTGCTCAAAGTCATCAAATTATCATTAATTACTCAGTAACATGCAGTGCTAGCTTGCTATAATTTCTCATGTTGAAAACTGCCTTGAATGAAGTTCTCAGTCTAAACAAGCATTTCTATGACCCAAAGCATTATTTTACAAATTTCTTGTAAATTAATTTTCTCCTTAGAGTTATTAATTTCTGCTGCTGGAACTGTATTCAGCTATCTTCCAACTTTTACATGTTACCAGTGATTGAGCAGAACAGGGGAAATGAGTTTTAAGAATCATAGCTTTAAAATCAAAAATACCCTCCTCAACTTAAATGTGACATTAGCATCAGTGCTCTTCCACCCAGTCTGTGCATTGCTGGAACTAGCAAAATTGAAAGAGAATTTCTCAGGAAAAACACTATGGCATTAATAGATGTGGTTACTTCAGAAGGAAGGTAGAGATAAGAAGCAAAGGGAATATTAAAGATCTTCAAAATGACTAACTAACAATATAAGAAAACACATTAACTTTACATTTTCCTTTCCCACCTTCCAAATTTAACAGAAAGATTCTACACTGAAAGATGCTATAGCATGCGAAAATCTGAGAGATCTGTTTTACTTTCGAAGATGTTGGTAGGATGAAACTTCACGCTTAGAAAACTTTGATTATGAAGCTTCTATTTGTTTCCCAAAAAAAAAGGGAGTTATGGTACACTTGTTAAAACATATATTGTCACAAAATTTTTTTTACATACCATTTCCACATGTACACAAAAAGTAACAGGACCTTGTTGGAAAGGAATTTGACATTAACTTCTGGTGTTAAGGATTCTCCATTTAACCATTGCCACTGATATTTGAAAATACACTATTTGCGCAATGCTTGACTATGATAGTTAATTTACAATTCTAGTCAAACAAATTTTAATAATTCTTAAAGCTAAATATCAAGTAAATATCAATTTTTCCTAAACAGCAAAGCTAAGATTTTTTTTTAATACAAATTTTTTTAGATGAAAAATGTATTATTTTTCAGCATTCCTTTGCTAATTGACCCAGTAATTTAGAAGAAATATATATACTGGAAACTTGAAGGTCCTTGATTTTTTTGATACAGTTTCTGAGTTCTGTATTTTTTTGTTTGAGGTCTTGAGATTCTTTTTTCCTTTTAATATTTGCTCTGTATTAGCATCACAAAGATAGAATTTCTATCCAGTAAAGAATTAGGCAAGAGAAAAAATATCGTCTGACATGTCAAAAGGGGATAACCCATGTCATGCTCAGGAGAGTTTTGTAATTTCAGAAAATTAAACTGGATAGTGTGTCACAAAGAATAGCTTTGTTTCGGCGTCTCAGTTCTGTTGGGTGCTCAATTCTGCTGAGTGCTGAAATCCCACTGAAATCAGCTCTGAAGTAATCCTCCTAAAATAAAAGGCTGCCACATGCTCTCACTTAAGAAATTTTGTGCCTCTTCCACACCAAACACATTCCACCTTATATCAATGCTAAACAAAAGTGTCTGCACAAAGTACAACATTTTCCTCCCACAAATGAAATTAGATCTAGGCTCGTATACACCAAATAGCTTCAGACAGTTACCATACCTGGGTAATGAGCTGTACTGACGCTGAGCTTGTTGGAAACTCTCTCTTTCTTCTTGCCGCTGCCGCTGCATTTGAACCTCTACTGATACTGAGTGTCTGCCACTCTGTGAGTATGTCTTGGTGCTTGGCTACAAAATAAAGATGAAAATGTCTTCAACAGAGAAGAAAAATACCCACAAAAGAGCTACCATTTAAATTGCTATTGTACACATATGGTTACATTTGTTTCAACATGTGGTTCAAGTATCTTTTTCACAATAATTAGATTAAATTCTGACCCATAACAGTGACCTGTGCTGTTGTACCATTTCTGAGATGTATCAAGAAAATATTGGTCCAGAATGGATTATGGTATATAGTAACACTGAAATTTCAGTTAGGTTGGTGGAACAGATCTTCAGACACTGTAAGTTAACCTAGCTATGGTAATGCTAAGTTTTACACCCCAATGAGGGTCTGAGGGAGGATGGAGCACAGCAGCTCCTTCAAACCTCACCAATATGCTCAAGTGATGCTCTCTCATAGTGAAGCCATCCTCTTTTGTTGTTGGTCCAGACAGGCACCAATTGCTTTTCCAAGAGACAGGGAAACATTTTCTGGTTCGACGTGATCAAGTAGATAGATTTATCAAGTTCCTCATGGAGACTGGGGAATCCTGTATCTCTGAGAAGGATTTTAGGTAACATTTTCATGAGGTAACAGTTTGAAACTTTGAGGCCAATAATAAGAGCAAGTGAAAACGGATGGCCTTTCTGGGAATACAGAGCATTACCTGTCAAGATCTGACATAATGTCTTCATTCAAACTTTAGATAATGAAAAAGTTTACTTTTCTAGAGAGAGCACTTTTCATTTTACATCACTACTGTCATCAGATTTTGTGATTTCGAATTGTAAATAAGGTGCTATAAAAGTCATAGAATGTTATAGGTTTTTTTTGTTTTAATAATACAGTTTCACCTAATGAAGAAATAGATCATTATTTTATCTATATGTACTTAAAATTACCAGTTCTATTCAAAACACGTAAGCCTAATTACTCAGAGGTTAGGGAGCATAACTACTTGTCTGAGCCTGGAACTGAAACAGCTTGTCTCAGACTCGCTTTTGTTAAAGCATTTTCGCCTTTTCATCTGTACCTTCCCTCAAAACAAACACATCCTGGTTTTGCCATTATAATTTCTGCAGCAGAAAGATATCATAATGGCTCACGAATATCTGTAAGATGAAAGGCTTTGCAAAAGCTTCATAAAAAGAAGTCAAGGTTTATAAACTAGAAAGTTGCCATTTGTGACATAAAGTTCTCCTTTGTCTTACTATCCAATAAATTGCCTGCAGGTAGCCAGAAACACAACAAATTTGAAGCAGATGTACAACATTTAGAAAGTTCATTTTCGATAACTTAACTAACAATAAGCTTCTGACAGGGCATCAGTCTTGGCTCAGAATTTAACAGATACAATTTGGCGAACAATTGTCTTTTCCATTATGAGGAGATTCTCATGCAAAAGAATCAGAACGCGAAAGCATAGACTATTAGACTATGAGTAATGAAGAACTTATTTAAGAGAATCCTTAATACAACATTGATGTATATTTCAGAATAGACTTATTCTGTAAAAACCTCAGTAAAACAGTATTTCTAATGAAAAATGCTTTAGGAATGGTGTGATGAAGCAACAAGTTGAGAAAACAGTATTGTGCCTCAACCTTGCGAGATATTTTCTTAGAGATGAATAAGCTGTAAATGTATATGTATGTCCAAACCAACAACCCCCATGGAGATTTCCTACTATATTAAATAAGGGCAACACATAGAGAGCAGTGTTTTAGTTATTGCATATGTCAACATTTCTAACTTTCTTGACTTTATTGAGAGTCTTCTGACATTTGGTATTTTATTGAAGGGCTCAGCTTATGGAAGCGAGCAATTACCTGAAAATCACAAGATCTACTTGTGAATTCTCTCCAGTGTGGTTATAAGCAGTTTACAGAGAACCATAGGGAAACTCAGAAGTTTCCATCTCAACTTCTCCATAAGGAATAAAAACATTTAAACTAAGATTTTAGAGCAAATCTCCTCATTTCATGGGTTCTACTTTAACAATGTTGGAAAGCTTGCAGCAACATTGTGTCATATGTGAGAAAGTAGTTATCACAGCTAAGACATGAAATCAGAATTGCTTCTTTTTATTTGAAAACACAGTTTCAAGTTGGCGGGGTTTTTTTTTTGGGGGGATGGGGGTCAGTTCACTGTAAATATAACATACTGAAAGATTTTACAGTACAGGGAATGGTTAAATTACCAAACAGGTGGAGTGGAAATTGAGCTGCTGCTTAATTTAGGTTTTTAGAAAACACTAAAGTGCATCATCTAGAAAGCATGAATGCAAGTACATGCACACACATGTGCACAGGCCTGAAGTTACCACAAAAGCCTTTACTAAAGTGACAGAGCTTTAAAAGCCCTAATGGACTATGAATGGATTAAAATCAAAACGTAGCTTCAGAGATTTTTTATTTTTTTTTAATGCACAAAGGAGCCAGTGGTTAAATAGAGGCAGGGGCTATCACGCCTGTCTGCCCACTGTAGGGCATGCCCAGAATAACTGGACCTGAAGAGCCAGGTCTGGATTCTCTGCAGTTCACAAAGAATTTAATCTAATGGACAGCATTTATAATTTGATGGGTCTAAAAGCAAACATCTAAAATCCATTATCTGATTTTCTGAAGGTATGAGTACCTGTATGCCCTGTTAAACTAAGTGGATTTGCAATACTTAACTAATCTGAAAAGGATACTTATTTAGAGTCCTGTCTGCATGTTCACATCTACAATAAGTCGTTTCTATAATCAATTCTGCTATCTGATTTTCAGTATCCAAAAATATGTCAATGAGACATAAACTCCTTCTGTTTGTAATCAAATATTCCATATCATAACACATAGGTATATTCAACCATCTTATTAATGAAAAGACCTTTCTTTCAAATCTTTTCATTAAAAACCTCATACCATAGTGAATCCCTTTGGTATATAGTTATGATGATATAAAAACATAGAATACTGCTTTTTGGATCCTTAACTTGTTCAGAAAAATGCAAATCACCATACAGTGATTTATATTTTTAGTATGCTTTCAATTAAATTATCTAAACCAAAAATATTTATATCACAAGTAACTTTAGTCTTCAAAAGCTAAATGGTTATTTTGTCTTAGTCCCCAAAGTATTCTTTTATACATACATATTTATATAAAATATATACACAAACACACATCTATATAAAAGTATACCCCATTTCTGTCAGCAGAAAATGGAGGTAATTAAAAAAAAAAAGTGGATTATTTTCACATCTTTCAACAGCAACCAAAGAACGCGTATAAGGAATACACATAACACAGTAATTTTAACATTGATATCAACACAAGGCTCAGTAAAATTATAACAATCTGAAATCATCCAACAAACCTGGCAACAGCTCAGTCTTCACAGCACAAATTGATAAGAACTCTGGCCTTGTTTGCAGTGAGATGTATGACAAGCACTGACCTTTTAAATCAGGATGCGGTCAAGGCCACAATAACAACCAAGGCTGCATTATACAAATAAATGTATGTTCATGTCTTCCACAATACATTTAAGTGGCAATGATAGTTATCGCGTTCAGCATTGTTAAACAATACTCAGTATGTAAAACTGGGCTTTAAGATACATGAAATTACACAGCTCTTTTCTCAATGAGGCATTATTTTAAAACCAGGGCTGCAATGTTAAAAGTTTCTACAGATTTCTTGCTTTATGCAAACATTTTTTTCAGTTCACAGAGAATGTATGTCCATGGCTCACATTGCACTGACCACTACCAGCAGTAAAGGGCAGCATATTTTACAGATTGAAGTCCCTCCTCTCTTTCCTAGCTACGTCTGTGGCTGCCCATGCAGTTTCTTTCCCTGCAGAGTGGCATTTCTGCCTATGAAGGGTAGCTATTCTTGATGGCAGCATGGATGCTCCAGGACTGGCATAGATCAAAGTTGCCACAGAGATCATGGGGGTGACCCAGGTCTTCAGTTAGATTCAACCAGTTCAGGTGACAGGGGATCCACCAGTTGAGGTGACGCTCCTATCCAACAGCCTACTCCCATAGGGACAAGCTTGGAGTAATGCTTACTCAGAATCATAGATCTCCTTTGTGTTGACAGAGACACAGTTAATAGGTAGATTAATAAAGGAACAAGTCCCTTAGTATTTTCTCAGTTAATAAAAAGACCATTATTTAATAGAAAAGAAGTGTGGTAATTTTTTCCAGATTAAGCTCTGTGTTTAACCAAAAAGTTTCAAGTTCACCTGGAAGTCGCTAGATACAAGGTCCCCAAAACATCCATGGTTCTTACTGTTCAGCAATTAGACATAGATGAGATTAAATAGTAAATGACCTTGACTGCTTTATGTGTAAATGTACTTGGCATAGATGAGAGCCAATACAGTAACTGTGTATGTTAAAATTCAGAATGATAAAAAAAATTCAGTGGTTCTGGGACATGTCCTTGAAAAATATTACTTCCATCTTTTTGTTTATGTTGTTATGGTGAACAGAATATGTAGCAATATTTCTCTTAAAAATTGTCAACAGGTATGTGTATTAATTCAAACACCATATAATAAGAAAAATCTCATCCCTTTGCGCAGCTTTCTATGGTGCATATGTAGGAAGTTGAACGGTGTGGTATGGGATAAAGATTTCCATTCTGTGTATGGCAGCAGCAGAAAGAAAATCTTCAGCGTGGTAGAAACAAATCACTTACTTGGCACTGAAATTCTGCCTGCAGTATTTACATGCACTGCTTGACTGTGAGCTATAAATAGTTTATTTACAAACTGAAATTGTTTCATTTCTTTTTAAAATCTTCTATCTTCATTTTCCATTTTGTAAAAATTGAAAGATTGAAACTAGCGGTGGAAAAAGTTTAAAATAGGAAATTTTAAAGTCAGAGTTTAAGTCTTGGCACAAAATAGCTGGTATTTCATGAAATTGTTTCCAGGTTTGACACAGAATGGATATTAACCACACAGCTGAAGATAAACTACCTGTGGAGAGACTGCCCTTCTTAACTTTGATTTTCCCTCTGAAACAGATTTGGGTAGGAGGAACAGCTCCATTAGGTATCACCTAATATCTTGAATAAAATACCCTGAAAGAGACTCTTAAAATGGATTCATCATAGAAAGAATTAATATACTACTTTTCTTTCTTATTAATGTGCTGAGTAATTTTACATAATTTACAGCCTGATATAAACTTTAAAATGTTTGTTTTGAATATAGTCTGGTATTAATTTTCCAGGTAAAATTAATATGTTATAGTCGAAATTACAGCAATAAAAATCAGGCTTTTGTTTTTCTGAAATAATTCATTATGGTTTTATGGTCAAGGACGTGACTACAGGGATAAGAAACAAGTACTGTAAACAGATTAAAAAAAATATTTTTCTTTACATCTGTCTTCAAGAGAAGACCTGCACATCAACAGCCAGCAGAAAAAAACCTGCATAGTACCTATATTTTCTGAGCACTTATCTATCAGGCCACGCCTAAGTATGTTATTAGGACTTCTGGAGTCTTCCCTCTATGAAAATCATGCAATTATTTATGTTTCACAAATTTAGCGCATATATAAATAAAGCTATACTCAGACAAGTCAGGTAGTAGATTTATTTTGACCCAGTTAGCTTTTCTCTTTAGAAAAAAAAAAAAAATTTTTATTTGATTCCTAAATATTTAAAATAGAGTTTGCTCAGCTGGTTTCTCAATGCCAGTTTTCTCCCACCATCCAAATAGGTCCAGGATGGCAGGAGATGAATGTATTTGTGAATTTAATTTGCCACTTTCCATTTTTGGCACTGATTATTTTATTAAAGAGGAAGAAATAATTCACCAACTTTTGTCCCTCCAGCATCTTTGTGATTATTGGTGTGCTGCTACAAGTAGGACTGGTAAGCAGTTGTAGTGTTTTTAATGGATTTAATATGCTCTTTTTTGAAATTGGATTGTTCACTCCCATGACGTTTAGGGCTGTAACGCTGTGGTTTTGTTATTGAAGGTAGGGATCTGTTAATTAAGACGTGACTAGGCAAAAATACAAGATATGGAACAAAGTACAATCAAAATCCTCCCAACCTCGGCAGACCCAATACTACTCTGAAAAGAACAAAACCCACAGGCTCAACTTTGGAACCAAACAGAAAAATCAGCCGCACAAGAATCCTTGCATTGGTATAAAATGCCATAGCAACAGCAAGGGTCTTAAATATTAGCAGACATACTGTGGTTCCACGCAATTCTCCATGCCCAGATACACCTTTCTGCAAATTCTGACTGGAATTAACACCAGCAGGATTAAAATGGATTAATAACAGTTTATGGGCTTTTTTTTTCTTTTTTTCCCCCTGTGTGACATCAGGCATACAGTATTGCTCTTGAAACCCTCTTGTACCTTTGAGTTTTTTGAAACACCAAACATAAAAAAGCAATGTACGAGAAAAAAATATGAAGCCTGAGAAAGTTATCTTAAAATAAATAAATGCAAAAGCCCCTTCCATAAAGCTTTGACTCAGCTGCAGAACTAGTGGATTTTAGAGATGGCTCAATGTTGCAACAGTTAGTCAGTTATTAAACCTTAACAGTGTGTCATTCAAATGGCCTTGAGCAGAAATGGTACGCTGCTTAATAGACGGTGTCATCTCATTCCATCACTATCAGTTTTTGTTCCTGTTGAGCTGCCTGACTCTGTATGAACACTCGTAGGCAGTCAAGTGTTTTGTTTACTGGCAGGGCAAACACAGCCAGGCAAAAAGTCCAGCTCTGTCACATTGCTCATGTACAAAGAAAGAGCCTTCACCTGATAGGCACAGCCAGAAAAGGATGGGGTCAGGCACTGGTCTCTCTGCCACAAGTATCACTCAGAGTAAGCATGATATAGTGCTCCACGGTATGGAGATCTGCCTCCAAGCCGTGGAGGAGACTGAAGGTATTTGTCACAAGTATCTGGACTCCTGTGTCACAGGCCATTAATAGTCTGGGATGGATTGGAATTGGTGATGTTCACAGGATCGTTTTGATAATATATTAGCAGGTTTCTGAGCAATTGAGCTCCTCTGAATATCCTCAGAGCTGCCAGATTTCCATCAGTATCCACTACTTATACTTCAAAGTTTGTGTTCACCTACACTTTTCTAAAGTAACCAATAGCCCCACATCACATCAGCACTTTGTTCCCTATCCTCAACCCTCCCATCAGCTTGTTAATGAGAAATGCAAACTACTTGTCACCTCCTAGCACACACTTCTCTGTGGAAGGATTTTTCCTCTCTTTCTGTCCAAACCAGGTCAGAGTTGGCTGCTGTCCTGCAGCTCAGATGCTTCTCTAGATGTAAAGCCTTTTGTTTATGTCAGCTGTGCAACCCGTCTCCCTCAGGTGAAAACACACTTTTCGACAATGGTCCACATACAGGTGCACTTTTCATTGCTGTGGTTTGTAACCAACAGCTTACAGATGGAGAAGACTGAAAAGACGTTGACAAATGTATCTAAGTATTTTCCTGCATACCTATTATAAACCGTTTTTGGTTTTTTTTGTGACACTGGTATTTAGTGATGCATCTGGATCTGTTTTGAGAGGGTATCTTAACAAAGTTAGTCATTTTAGACTAATAGGTTAAAGTAATACACACTCCTTAAGAAAGAGGATTATGGCTCCTTAACACTGAAATGACTGTGAACTGCTGAAATGGATGAGATCATTGGTTTTTCCTTTCCAAACATTGTGATCTTGAAACGCTGGATGGAAAGAAAAAAAATATGATTCAAAAATGCTCCAGGCCAATTTTTTTTTTTCCAAGTACTTATCTAAAATAAAACATTTGGTCACCTATGTATTTAAAAACAGAGCAGCTCCTACAAAAGCAACAATAGGCTTCAGAATTAATATTAATACATTAAGCTGAATTAATCACTTTGAGCTCATTTGCATGATCTGTAGAAGGGGGGTAAACAGAGAGATCCCATTTGTTTGAATAAGAGAAAAAGGAAAGGTCAGTGTTCTGACCCACAATTTAGGAAATTATTCCATTCCTAAGGTAATCAGCCTGTCATCCAAATAATTCCCTCCTTGCCCATTACAAGAAACTATAATAAAAGCCAAGTTGCCTGTCTAAAGTTGCTATGGCATCTAGATATACAACAATTTGGCCCGTGACCTTCAGTAGTTAAGTTCCCAAGTCTTCAAGGGTGCAAGTTTTTCTCATGCATAGTTTTCCCAAGAATGCTGCTCAAATCTCTCAATTTGAAAAACTAAACAGCAGTTGATATGCTTAATGGAAAGTACCTCCTACATCCAGCCCTCTTTCACCCCAAAATTGCTACACTATAACTGTGATGAGCTATCACACTGTCTTCACCACATCAAATTGAAAACATCTGGTCATAAAAAAAAAAAAAATGTTTGGGGGTTTGGGTTTTTTTAATTCAATTTCAGAGAAGGTTAGAGGTTTTCTGACATGGGAAAAGATAAACCTATATCCTGATACACTACATTAAACAGTGCTAGGTCATTTAGGGATACATTTACCTGTGTTCTTCTCCATGCTGCATGTCAAAAATACCACAGGTTCAAATTGGTGAGTTTAAAACTGACAAAGACACAAAGACCCAACAGAAGTAAAAAAATCTTATATATCCACCACAATAGGCAAACAAAGATGACATATGCATTCTGATGCATATGGTTGTTCTCAGTGACTTCATACACACAGATGTGGATCTTTGGCTATTTCCACCTTGGTCTCATGGGCATCATAATGCTGAGTAACAATAACCCATCACCTACACCTGCTTTGGAGGAAGCTGTGAGAGATTCTACTGCTGTCATCGTACAGCTCCCTGTTTTTTGAGAATGCAAGCCAATTATTTACTGTCTTTATTGTGGAATTTTAAACAAAAATACAGTGAAATATTTTTCCCGTATTTAAAGGATCCTTTTACATTACATTTAGGATATGTAATTGATTAAAAAGCAACACAGATTCATTCAATTATGTTAAACAAGGTAAGCACATGGATTTACATAATTGTATCACTTTGCTAGATCAAATTGAACTGGATTTAAATTATCAATTAGGATGTATGTCTTGAGACAGAACTGTCTCAGCTAATACAAGTGGCAAATATGTACTATTGTGAAACATGCTATTATGCACAGGTTTCCTTTTTTACTGTGAAAATACATAGCTCTTCCTCTCAAGGAAAGGAACTAAACACAATGATATTTCTTCAGAGGAAATACAAAGTTACATGTTATCTGTAAATTATTTATTGTTAGTGTGTGTTTTACTCTCATTTTCTTAAAAAAAAAAAAATCAGAATAATTAATATTGCATTTGAGGCAAAAAAATCACAGAGTCAAAGGTCTAAACACAGAGCAAATAATGCTATATGCACACAGGACAGATAGATGAAGAAGTTTAAAAATGAAAAAAACGTCAAGGAACCAACCAAAGATTAGGATAACAGAAAGGGCAGAAGTGTAGAGACAGAGGAGCTGTGATCCTATTAGTCTGCTCCCTAACAGCCCAGGGACAGCAGGATTCAGCCAACCTTGCGAGATCTGAGAGGCTCTGTACACTTACCCATGGCTGCTCAAAACTGTAAGTACGTCTCCTGTCTTCCACGTCCTCATCTTGCTTTGCTTGCTGAAACTCTTGTCTCAGGCGCTGTATCCGGTCATGATTGTTAGGGGTCGATCTGTTGCTAAAAGAGGGAGGATGGAAAAGATCAATACACTTGGGAACTGCCATCTGTGAATGTAATTTCTTAGCACAAGACTGCTATTACAGTGCAGGACTACAGGTTTAAAAATAATTTCCAAGCTTTTAGTACAAACTTCTTAGTTTTTTAAAGATGATTAATGCTGTTTGACTTATAAAGAGACTTCAGATGGTGTAAGGGTAAGATGAATGAGACTATTCCTAAAAGTCATCAAATGTTGCTGACCTCTTTTCAGTGAATGTTACTCCTAGAAATTAAGAGGAATGGACATGATAGTATCAAATTTAACATAAAGGCAAATTAAAAATCCTAATGATCTCTGCTACTGAATAAACATGAAAGATATTTTTTCCCAATCAATAAACTATGGCACTGTCAGAACTTTATTCATATGAAATTCATTACGAAGTCTGAAGGCTCTACCTATATAAAATTTTATTATTTTCCCCAATCAATAAGAGCCTGTCATCTCTTAGTTCTGTTTTTAACAAGTCTTTTAAACTGATCAGTCTGAAAGCACTAAAAGGCTTGGGGGCCAGTAAAAAACAATCCATTTGACAATGTCATAGGCAGGAACACATCCAGGCAGCAGATGGGCACTGGCTGGGTTGGGGAGGGCTCAGCCCTGGATGTACCCCTACATACCAGCACAACCACAACCTCGAGTTCTTCAAAACCATTCTCCTGCCTGTTGCAGGTCTCTATAGCATACATTTACATGAAACCATAATAAAATACGCACAAAAAAAATTTCATAGGGTGGAGGGAAAATGGATATTTATTAATCTCGTTGCAGTTTTTCCAGCTGTGAGGCTCCCACCTGACCCCTACAACCCCCACCATATTTCAAGCATGATAATATGGGAATCACAAGAAGCCTGACAAACAAATATGTTATATCAGGACCAACCAGAAATATTTTAATCTCTTATTATGGCCTCCTTAAGCTCTGCATTTTATTGTTTATTTCAAAAGAGCTGATGAGGAATGGACAGCTGTTACTTAGTTTCAAAAGACAAATCTTCAGGGAGACAATGGAAAGCAATTCCATAGATCCCTGTTCTTGGACACAAGGTACAATAAAACACAGTGAATTTATATCCCATATCTTCTCTTATATGAAAAGAGATGATCCTGGAACCTATTTGTGACTATTTTCCATGTCTTTTGAGACTGGTAGGTGCAGTGGATTGAAGGTAGTAGATGTTTGAGATGTTACCTCCCACTCTTTTCAGTGCCATTAAATGGAGCTTATCAGTGGTTTGTTAGCCAAACAAAAAAATTAGCACGGTTCTAACAAAGGCTAATTTTTGAAGAGGTTTAGGGTTTGTTTTAGGTTGGTTTTGTGGTTTCTTTTTTTTCTCCTTGTCTTTGAAGCTGAGAGCAGAGAAAAGACATGAATTTAGGGAAGTCCTTCCTTCCTCCCTCCCTCCCTCCCTTCCTCTCTGTTTTCCATCTTTCCTTCCATCTTTCCTTCTTGTCTGCCTGTCTCCCTGCCTCCCTCCTTCCCTTCCTTCCTCAGAAGCTATAAGAAATACTTTATTTTAATGGAAATGCAAATTTCCATTTTGAAAAGTACAATTAAAAGAAAGCTTTATTTAGAACAGGTGGAAATTAAACATTGTGGCACTTTCAAAATTTCCACTTCATTATAGGTGTGTTGCTAATTGTACTTCCTTAATTTGACTTAATTTTGTGAAACAGCTGATGTTATTTAAATATATTCCTTATTGTCAAATTCTGCACAGCTTTACTATACAACCACTTGTTTTTCCCATGCATTACTATACACTGCATATTTTACATGCAACCACCGCAATCCAGTACAAGACATACAAAATACTTTTAAATGGTCTGCTGATTTTTAAAAATGGTGGTGTTAATCTAATAAACAAGTAGTCCAAGACTTTCTACATAGATAGTGTTTTCTATAAGTTGCTACTTAAATGTAGCAAAGTATTTTAAGTATTAGTATTTCAGGTATAAGAACACATTTGAAAGAGAAATGCCATTGAACTTCACTGCAAAATTACTAGAAAAGCACTATATATAGACATCTTGAGGTACTGAAGATGGCTGGTAAATAATCAGCTTTTCTTAATGAAAGTTTTTTCAAACTCTGAGGGATCAGAGTGCAGAAGTGACACTGGAGCAGGTATTCAATGGCAAAGAAAAAACATAAGGTAAACCCACAAAGTACTGCACTAAACCCTGTGCATTATAGCGAACAGAAACTATCAATCAGCCCCAAAATGGACTATTGGAAGGATTATTACACACAAGGATTATTCTGCACATTTTGGGATTATTATTCATTAAAACAATTACATCAGTAGAGGAATAGCAACCAAATACATAGTGTCCATGCAAGGAAGACAAAATACATGTCTGCTCTTAAACAGCAAATTCATAAATTTTGCACGCTTACACTGGAGAGATGAACAACATCCAGACCTATGGTGAACTTACTCTAATCATCAAAAAAAAAAGAAAAAAACAGAGGAAGAGGGAAAAGAAAAAGAAAAAGAAAAGAAAAAAGAAGTCAGGGTAATTTAAGAAAAGTTATTAAAAGGTTTTATAATGGCAGAGAAGATAAATCTTTTAACAATATTTCTATTTCATCTGAAAAGCAAGAGACATGACCCAAATTTAGAAATTTGCAAAAGAACTGATATATAAATAAAGGACTATTTCACAGAAAAGAAAGAGCTAAATTTAAAGAAAAGTAGAACACTTTTTTACCTACTCAAATTTCTTTGTGCTCAAAATGTTTGTGAGACACAGAAAGTGAGGTCAACTCAGCAGTTCTATCCTTAAAAAAAATTAAACATTTTTATTTAGAAGAAGAAAAAGGAAAATACCAACAGCTAAAAAATGTCTAAGATACTTTTAAGGAAAGATTATTTGAAGGCTTAAACTGTATCTCAGGTTGACCTCCTTTCATTTCCATTTTCCTCTCAACCTTGTTCTGATTCATTAAGTTAATTATAGCTGGCCTAACCTTCCCACCTGTGAAGGCTTGCACATCTCCATCCTGGCCTGCCATGCTGTCTCCTGTTTCTCTTCATGCCTCTCTCCATCCAGTTATTTTTATCAACAGTGTTTTTTTGCTATGTTTTTTATGTCTCCAACTGCACTCCGAGTGCACTCAGGGAACACTTGGTACACCTGCTTGATATATCATTCAACTCCCTGCCAACAATTACTGCTTTCAGAGGAGTAAAATGCAAAAATCGTAATCACAATAAAAAACTGACACAAATAAAATTTTGGAGTCAAAAGGACAAACCTAACTTTACTCCTTTTCAGGTCCTGAGCTGTTGTTTTAGCTACAACTCTTTATGTAAGTCACATCATTATCCCTTGGGACAGATCTGAGCAAATTATATCCAGTGTGAAGAGTCCTTAGCCAGTCTAAAGCAAAATGAATTTTGACTTATCGGATGAATTCATCCACAGCAAGAAGGGTCATCTCAACAGACTACTAGGATCAGGGGTGCAGGTGTTCCAGCTGATTAAACTCCCTTTTGACTTTTGCAAATATATGATGAAAGTCCTCAGAAGTTTAATTAATTAACCATGTTTTGTTTGAGTTTTTCATTCAAATGAACTGAAAATCTGAAGGCAAATTCACCTCAAAGAATACTAGCAGCAAGGAAGGAGTTTAACTTGAAATCCATCCAAACTTTATCAAAGATTTGACCTATGCTAGTTTTAAACTTTTTAGCAAAACTGGAATTACAGCTCTGTACAGTACCACAGCTTGCCCACACAGTCTTTTGTTGTGCCTACTTAATAAATGAGTGGCTGTGAACTTACGGAAAACAATTAGCACCTCCTAGCATTGGATGCAAGTTGTCTTTTTCTATCATTATTAAATATTCCTAAAAGAAATAAAAATTGAGGAAAGGTTTTTAGGGCCAAAGTTAACTTGGGTTGCAAAGCGGCTAGGCTTCCTTGTATCACATCTCTTCTTGGCACCCCATTGCCTTCCATCTGCAGATGGCACATTTCACAATCAGCTATTTTGTGAGCACTGCTTTAAAACACACAGATGCCAGCACGGACTAAAAATGCAACCGTAAGCAAGGCTTAGATAGGCCAGAGCTGTCACATATTTCCAGAAACAAGCAGCCACAGCAATGGCCATCAGAGTCGCAGATCATTAAGCAATGTCTCAGTGTGATGTCATGCACTGATGTACAGAGCTGTAATCGTTTCAAAACAGACAGATTTTCAGTGTGATAAAGTAGATACAAACATGCTACCGAACAGGGATGACTAAAGCTTTGGGGGAAAAAAAAAATTGGCCTGAAAAAGCGTGGAGAATGGTCCTAATAACATCACCAGGCAGTTGCAACATGACTAGAATAACCAAAAGGTTAGTAAACAAACAATGCTCTTTACACCTTCAAATCTTTTAACACAGATTTGAGCTGCCAGGGACTCACTGGCCTGACCGGCTGCTTAGATCCCTGGATAGCAGTTATAAAACACAGATGGGTTCTTATTTACTTCAAGCTGGCAAATAACTATCACCTGTTTGTATCAAATAAATTCCTTTCTGTTTGGACAGATTACTCACTTCATATTAAAAATTAAAAGCTGAATTTGAATCTACTTTTGCCTACAGGCAGAGAGGAGCAGAAAAAGAGTTTATTTCCATCCCATTAAGGATTAATGATGTTCTTACTCTGGTGGCTGTGCCATAGTTGACAGCATGCATCCATGCCAAAGTTCAGGACTACCTGGGTGTCTACAAAATGGACCCCTTTCTTCTTAGCTTGAGCAGGATGAAAACAGCCCAACAAAAAGCAGAGTGTTGATAATCGAATATAAAAGTTTCTACTTCATTTACTGAAACTCGAGCACCCTCTTGCCACGGTGCTTAACTCCAAGCAGATGGATTTGTCTGTTTCAGATGGCCCTTGAGGGTGGATAAGCAAAAACTGTCAAGTTGCTACAAAAAGTCATGGACATAA